GGTGTGCAGCTTAACTGGACTGAATTAACATTTTTTAGTTCACGCACCTTGACAACTCCTCCACTGCTCCATGATGAGGCAGGGCCGTTCACATTTCTCAGTATTATAAGTTCTGTAATCTCTAAGATTTTTATATAAAGAAAAAAAATTGACCTCTGGTTATTCTGAGGGGCCCTCTATTAAGAGAAGTGGGGAAAATTGCTTCTTAAAAGGCATGGGATTCACAATATCCAGTAGAGCCTTAATGTTCTGTATCATGATCTACGACACAGATAAACCTGTAATATTGACATATTCTATCCCTCAGATCAATCAATTAATCCATATTTCAAAAGTATTGTGAGGTAATCCTTTAACAACAAATCCTGTGTTAAATTTTGAGTTCTTTTTCATTTCTGTGTGCCTCCTAGGACAATGCACAAGGAATATGTGCAAATCCCTTGCAGGGATCCTTGGCATTGCAGTATGAAGTTTGATTCGTTCCTGCAGCCCCAAGGGTTACATGAATCCTTCACCATTACTACTGGATCACACAACAGTAGCAGGGAAGCTGCTCTAAAATGTTGCTAAACTAGGCAAAATAATTACAATGGCAACATGATTGTAGCCTCTCTGCTGCAGTGATACAGTTAATAAATTCCAGGACATACACCCACATAACACAGTACCAAGTAGACACTAAAAGTCCAGCTAACCCTCAACTGTCAGTCTGAAAAACAATATACAGTACTTATTTTTTTTTTTTTTAATACTGGCTCTATATAAAGTATAGAACAGCCAAATCCAACTCATGCTGCAGTCAAAGATAAACTCTTATCAATAGGGGAAATGAGAAAACACAAGTAAGGTTTTTTCAGGAAAGTGATTGTTTTTCCTTGACAGCAACAATAAGAACAGGTTATAAGGAGCAATGAACAAAAGCTCGCTGTTTGAGATCACTATCAGTCTGACTAGAGACCATGGAAAACTAATGGAATAGGACAGGCACAAACTGTATGTCCATTTGTGGTGAACACGCCACACAGTATGCAGAAATATAGCAAGATACTACTGTTTTTTTCTCTCTTTTTCTTTCTTTCTCTCTCTTTTCTTTGATTCTTCTGTGGTCTGATTACAGACTGTCTTCATGTCAAATCACATGCATCTGGTATAGTTAAAGAGGGAAAAGCCATTTGAACCCTAGTAACCCATAAGCAGAAAATGTAATTCAAAGATTGAACTTGAAAAATTACAAACTGTGTTGTAAACAGAGTATTACTTATTTTTCTGAAACACTGCATGGAAATATAGGAAATTGCCATTTAAACAGTAGCAGATGAAAACCAGTAAGAACACACACAATTAAAATCTTAAAAATAATTCTATGTCAGCAAAGCAGGGTGGAACATTAGAATGTGTGTTCCTGGAGATTTAGTGTTCGACCTCAAGAACTTCTAGAACAGATAGAATGTATATGATCGTAATTTTTACACTGTAAGAACTATAACCCATAGAATGGGAAGGATCTCCTGTAAATTTAAATATTTACAGCATAGTTACTTGCATCTGATTTATTCACTGCAGATGAAAAAGGAGGTCAAATGAATCACACTCAGAGACAACTGCTACTTTTCACTACAATTTACTTATTTTGTATTTAATTTCCATTTCATGCAAGTTCCACTAGAATGCTAGAAATAGTGAAGTATTTGAAACAATATTTCAGACTCTGCAGATACTAAAAAAATAGACTGCAAAATAAAAATATTGCCCTCTTTAAATCTTAACATCACTTCCGGCAAAAACAGATTCTTTCCCTCTTTCTGTGTTAAATATCTTTCATGGTGTCATTGAAGAATGATCATCCCACTGAACAGATTGGAAAGATCCTTCCTCCTGAAAAAACATAGCTTCCTATACAGGTTTAACTGTTACACATGCCCTTTTCTGCACCAAGTTTTTTTGGTTGGTTTTTTTTGTTTTTTTTTTTTTTTAGTTTACCTAAATCAACCAAAACCAATCAAACATGTTAGGTTGATTTCATTAATGCTTAAATCAGCTTAGCTTACAGATGAATCAAGCTAAACTGATGCAAGATCTGGAACAGGAACAAAAGCATGAATAAAGGAATGAAACTATTTCAGGTAAAGAACTAATGTTAAGGTCAAAGAAATTTCATGGCTGTTTTACCCTTGCAAAGTAGACAATGTCACCTCAGTTTTATATTTCATCAGTAAGAACTGATTGCCTAGAAAGGTGATTTTGAAGTTGCACAAATTCACACTGCATTTGAATTCTGTATTACTTCAAACTGTCATGAACATAGGATAAGGTACTGTTTGAAGGTAATAGCATTTGTTCCATCTTTCTCTTTCAATAATATGTTTTTGTCTTACTGAGTTGCTCTGACTCTCATGTGGTCAATCTGCAGTACAAATCATTGGAGTGTGAATTCAGTTGACAGACTTAAAACATTAGGGTTATTCAGATCCAGCAGCTTCTATTCAAAAACAACTATTATTAAAATAACTAAGTCTAACTAAAACATGGTCTAAATAGAAAACCTGCATAGTTAATACATAGCAGAAGTCTTTTGTGTTTCCAAAAGCACACCTAAAAAACACACCTTTAGGACCATCTTAATTCTTCTTAAAAGCAATCTCAAATAAAAACATAAATATATATGCAGTATAGGACCATCAGAGTCAAATACTTAAAAGATAACAGATTTGACTAGCTTGTGAATAAGTCTATAATGGAAAGAACTGAATAGCATTTACAGTGATTCTCAATGTATTTTAAAATACACGATTCTTGGATTACACCTTATATTCCAAACCACGCAGTTTGTGATCACAGAAGCATGATGCTGCCATGTTACATTTCACATGAAAGGACTGGCAGAACCTGGAAACTTGTTCCCTTGCCTTTTGAAGAAGTGTCCCTCAAACAATGCCTAAGTACTTCCTTGTCAGTCAGAACCTGGAACTATATATTAAATACATAGAAATAAATCAATACTTTGTCATTTCTACTTCATCAGTACAGACCAATATTCCTGGTTCAAATCCTAGGCTTGTGACACCGTTTCTAGTTCCACCTTAAGCACTGAGGATAAAGTCCTACAAAACAAAGCAGCATCTCTCCCAAAAGAAACAGAAGAGTTTGTTTCAGTACTTTGTATTTTTGTCTCTAGGAAATTATAAAACTCTGCCTCTTGTTAACTATACAAATATATTATTAGAACTTTGGGATCACCACTACTTGACACTGAGCCTTCCAATTGTAAAAAACATTTTCATTGCTTAAATTCCAGAACTAACGAACACCAGAAAGCAGCAAAGTTTACAGCCTCAGAGGTCATGCACAGCAAAATAGATCACAAACCTTTTTATTCTCTGCTGAGTTGCCTGCCATACAGTGCTGCTGAAGGTAGCCATGGGCTTTGAAGAGTATCAGCCAGGTCCAACAGGATGAATTTTTGCAATTCTGAAAATGTCTACCTCCAGTTAATTTCAAAATCTATCAGCACTGCACTTTTTCGCCATGGTACCATATTGTGAGTTGGACTAATTACATGTTCCATTTCATGTGAACAGTTTGACACTTCATGCTTCTGAATGTTAAGGTAAAAAACAGAAGTCTGAGTAGCAATCTTTTACCATGACACACAAAAATCTACACATAAATGAGCACAAGTCCAGACTTCAACTGAGCTATTTCAACCCAGTTCAACTGAGGATCTGGCTTTTACTCTTCATTTTGAGGAGGCACTCAAGTCATAAACAGTAATTTTAGAGTGACAATACTCAAAAACTTCAAGCTATGTGCTTAAGAGGCTAAATCCTAATCAAAACAAACATAACTTGAACATACTTGCTCTTTTTATATTCAAAAATTCCTCAGCAATACAGCGCTTGATTCCAAAACATGACAACAGCTCATCTGATATAGAATGTAAGATCTATACCTTTTCATCAAAAGTTCGGCCTGTGACTTTAACTCTGGGTGGAGAGAAATTGCAGACTTGTTTAGAGATTCTTTGATATGGTATCTCTGTACTGTAAGATTAACAAACCTCGAACAAGCTCTTTGAATCACAGCCTGAAACCAGCAGACACCAAGGTCAGAAGAACCAGAAGCATCATCACCCAAGATAACTGCAGAGAAACCAGTTAGGACTAGCACGTATTGCAGCAAAGCTATGATAAGCTGTTCAGTGAGCCAGCTCATGACTATATACGGGAAAAGGATCCAGAGTTCATAAAAAGGACACTGAAAGACCCCTCTACAAAGACCACTAGGGACCCCCAAGCACCACCAACCCAAATCACCAAGTATGAGCACCTGGAGAGAGAATATGTAAATAAGATCCAGGGATTCATTATCCTAAGACCACCTTTTCCAAGAAATATGATGAATATGTATATTTCTGTCCTACATAAATTCTATGTCTTTGGTTGTGCAGCATACACATTAGGTGGAAGTATCCCCCATGCATCCAGTGCTGTAAATAAAGAATGCCTGCTTTCTAAAGCTCCCAAATGAGTCTTGGAGAGTTTTCGTAAGCCGTAATTTTTGGTATCAATCTGCATACCCTTCTGAGGGAGAGAATACCGAAAATAACGCCTAAGAATGAAGAAACGTGCCTCCCTCAGTGAAATGTTCAAATAAGAAGTTAGATATCTAAAAAAAATTATCTATGTAAACACAATTCTGCTGTAGCACAGGGATTGGATTAAATTATTTCAATGCCCTTTCTATATTCCTATTAGTTTATTTTTATTATTGTGAAGTATTAGACCTTTGGCTCCACCTGTCTCTTGGTTTACCATTTCTTATGACTTCATCAGCCCATATTGTTGCATGGTAAGCCTTCACGAGTTGGATGCTCACCCCTTGACACCTCAAATTCTCCAAGTAGAAGTGTGGTATGTCCTCAGCAGAATTAACTACTCCATGCTACTGAAGGCAGTTGTCTATGGTTGTGCACCAAAAGATGCAAATCTGTCTGTACTCACCCTGGTGGGCAGACACAACCTGAAACACAAGGATGGTGTGCTGAGAAAGTGAGGTTTAGCAGCTGATTCTCACAAGTTCTCTCTCTGCTGAGTTCAGGATCAACTCGTGGTCTACTGCAGTTAATATATATCTGTCCAACTGGGCAGCTGTGTGCTGGGGGAAAATAATTGACAGACACATTAGTCTTCACACCTGAAATTTTGTATTCCATAAAGGTGTGCAATAGATTTAGATTGATAATATGCAACACAAAAGCATCACATCCAGTAACACCAGTAAACATCCAACTGCCTGTCTCTCCTAAGCATAGTTAATTTTATAGAAACCCTATAAATCTCATAGAAAATACTGAAATGAATATATTTGTTTAGTAAGAGACATGACTTTCTAAACAGTTAATCAGGAATCAGCCCTCCAAACCAGAAATGCAAAGTAGTACCAACAGAGAAACCAACAGAAAGGAGGGGGCAGGGATCAAGAAAAGGTTTGAGAGATAAATATGACTTTCCATGCTGGAGCAACTGACAATGAACAAAACAGTTCTATTGCACAGTTGTTTTTGGGTTGCACTGAGCATACTGTGTATATGTAACAGAAATGCCCTAAGAGGTGGCAGTGTTTAAAGCATTTTTGGTTGGTTGCTGGGATTTGTTTATTAGGGACAGAGGTTCTGCATAATTGTGAAATCAGTACAACGACCACCTTCAAGTGCATGGGGAATAAATTTCTGCTAAAGGCCAAAGAGTTGGCAATTCTAGAACTGAAACCTCAAATAAAAGCCTTTCTCACTGGAGTAAAAGGAGCACCATAACAAGAGTATGGACAATAATACTTAATGACATATAAAATATACTGTAATAGAAAAAGCACTTGTTACATTCTTTTGCTGAAGTATGAGAAAAGAAATATTTTTTTTTCATATTTCAGTTACTCAGGGTTTGTGGAGGGGAAAAAAAAAAGTATCTGAAAAATTACTGCCAGTGTTCAGTTCCTACAACCATGTTTTATGGGGCAAAGCTAACCTTTGTTTGTCCTACTGAAGTTCTGCTGTTTGTCATGCAGTCAAGCTCATCTACATTAGCAATCTTAAAAAAAAATATTTTAAAGCACTGGGGAAAAAAGTTGCTCAGATTTAACAGTATTTTGGACAGTTACGCTGCAGCTTTGCACCAGCCTTTTTTTCAATCACACAAATATATAATTCCTAAATTACAGATTCCTTCCTGCAAGTTATTCATTTGTACATATTGGGCAATCTTCTACTACAGATAAGGGATTCCACAGAGATTGGAGGATACATATTCATTGGATTTCAAGTATCTTTTCCCTCTCTCTTTTCACTCACCTATTATGCTGTTATCACAATTCATTACTCCATCCCTGCAATGGCTGCAATAAACATACATGAAAGTGTAATGAGAGACAGGAATATCTAAAATATTAATGTTTTCTGTTTAATAGTGAAGCATGGAGTATGAATCAATACAAAATAACCATATAAATGTTTGCATTGAACATTTGAACTACGGATAAAGTATGCATTGCCTTAACACATAGAAAATATTAATTACACTTCAAACTTTTGCTTTCTGCATAATATTACTATGAGTTAAAATGTCTGAGCTGACAAAAAAATACATACAGAAATACACCACTACACTGCTCCCAAGGACATCAGTGCAGTAAGAATAAAGCAAGCCACGTACATAACAGAATCATCATTATCTAAAACAAAAACGCAATAAGCAATAGCAGCAAAACAAAACCAAACCCTAAACACACATACATATATGTTACAACAAGCTCTGGGTATGTACTCTTATGTGAACATTCTTAACACTATTATAAATGCACCATTTTCCTTGCCATCAGCTTAGAACTCTGCTGAAAAGCAAGCTACTATTTTATGTGAAAATCTTGAAGATACCAACAGGTAAGTTATCCCACAGTTGAAGGCAAAACCACAATATTGAATATAACACAATCACAAGCTGTTATGACTGCAAAAAATTTTTTGTACTGAACTGGAGTGACTTTTCCCCAAGCAAAACATAGTAACAATAGATTGATAACTTCATCTTTCCTCAACTGCTCCTGACATGGATCATGAACAAACTATCCATCTGAAAACTTCTCACAATAACATGAATTTCTATCTCATTTATAAAAAAAAGAATACTTTAATTATTTTAGTGTTCTTGGTTCACAGGAGGAAACAGCAATGCAGTTGCTGATTTTTATCCTCATGCTGTCTCAAACTAATTTTGCTTCAGCAATATGATAGGAATCTGGAATAGCAACCTGCTGTGACTATGACCAGAACCAATTGGAACTGCAGTTCATAATCAGAACCTAAAAAAAATTCAAACACCTCTATGCTAATCAAAATTCAAAATAAGAATTTTAAGTTAGCGTATCATAAAGCTTGTAGTATGTATACCCATTCACATACACAAAATATTACAGACAGGAACAGATACAACGTGTTTCCCCTGCATGAGACAATTCAGCAAAGAAACAAGAAAACTGCATAATACTCATCCCTAGAAAGATACGGTATGCAGGGAAGCACTGAGCAACATAATACTGTCTACTCCCGTCTAATTCCAGGCAAAATAGTCCAGTACTTTTACAAAATGGTAGCAGATTTGATAGCAACTCATTGTCAGGGAAAAAAATGTAGCACCACTGGCTTCATTTCAGGTCCTGTGTTTCACTAGAGGACCCAAGCCCATGAACTCCAGCACTATTCTCCTGTTCTTTTGCAATGGCCAAGATGTCCCCAGTATACCTACTGCTAGTCAGCAGATTCAGAATCAAATTCTGTACATGCCACAGCTACTCTGCTGTCATGTTTGGAGTTGTGTATGTACCTCAAAGCACTGCAGTCCTAGCTGTGTCCTAGTGTGTGTCCTAGCTCAAGAACTTCACAGTATAACTCAGCCAACAGGCAAAGCAGTACCAAAGGGAACTGATAGGGAGGCAACTCAAATGCTGACATAACATCCATATCAAAATATTTTAAAGAACTAGCTGAAAAGAACAGAACAGAAAGGCTACTCCATAGACAAACATGAGAAGAAATTCCAGTTTTAAAGTGGAAGTTCCAAAGAGGAAGCACTTAAGAAAAAGGATGGAGAAAGCATAATAAAGATCATAATTCTTTCTACTAAAAACAGTGACAGATAAAAAACAATACATCATGTGCATTTTTTCCACTTCATCCACACATATAGTCCTACATGATTCCTGATGTATTACTTAGCACAAGGTAATTCAGAGGAGCTGACAGTCTGTACCTCCATGTTTGAAAGCCTTTCTTCTCAACAGATCTGTATACACCCTCATCAAAATGTGGTAAGCAAAAGTCATGACTAAATAGGAGATACAAATCTCTTGTCTACTGGCTTACAACTACTAGTCTTTAAGATATATTTTAATTAACACATTCACATGAAACATAAGCTGCCAGATCTCAAGTAACTCCACTGAGGTCAATGGAAAGATGATTTTCACCTGTAGTAATTTCCAAAAAAAAAAAGCATTTGTTGTGATCACATGACCAGTGTGCATTCAGCTAAATATCCACCATAGCACTTTGCAAAATTAGCTATACTAAATCCTTGAGGAGGAGGATGAAAGGAAATAAATCAAAAAATCTACCAGGATAAGCCTCTTCCCATAACTGCCCAGTGCTGTCTGGCACATACTCCCTGAATAAAAACATCCAGGAAGGCAGGCAACAGTGCACCCAGGCTTTGCACAGCCCCCTGTGCAGAATGGGTTGCCTGGTACTCTCCAGGGAATCTGTCCTAGGTAAAGATGAGCTAACTTGGCAATTAAGATACAGATTTATAACAAGTATTTATGGACACTAGGCTGCTGACAACAGTGAGAGTGAGAATGAGTGTGTGTGATCACTAAGTGTCCCTGTTGCAATTGGTGCCCAACAATATTAATCTCTTATATGGCCTTTACAACAAACCAAAAGTATTACACTGATCTATCACAGACATGATTTGGTCTGTTCTGCTTTTAAAGTGTTGCAACAACTGATACAGGCGGTGAGAACTCAAACATTACTTCAAGAAAGAGTTCTGAAAGCTTGGTTTTTTACAGATCGTGTTGTCCACATTATTTAACTTTCTGCAGACAGAACTGTTGAAAAGGATGCATTGGCAGCAGCCAGAAGAGTTTAACAAGTTTTCTTCTTTAATGTCATGTCTATAGTGATGCAAATGGAAGAGCAAGAGGACAAGACACATAGCTCCATGGCTGGTGCCACTGTCACAACTTTGGGTTTTTTGACAATGGCACGGCCTACACAGCATCAGGCTTGCTGGCATCAAATGGGAGCCACCTTTCTCAAAGGGAAAAGAGGGTCTTTGCTCAGGAGCTTGCGGGGCTCACTGACAGGGCTTTAAACTAGATGTAAAGGGGGAGGGGAAACATATCAGGCTTACCTATGACAAGCTGTGGGATGGCACACAGTGGTTAGAGGGAGGGGGTGCTACTATGAGCCCTCAACCTGTTGCCCAGAGGCATGCTGGGGATGCTGCAGCACAGTCGAAATCTTGCAGAGATGAGATGGGGGCTCCTGAGGTAGTAAGAGCCAACAAGAAAACTTCTGGGAAACATCTCAAGGGAAACAAGGGGTGTTCCACTAAGAAGCAGACAACCAACAGCCCAGATGAAATGCCTCTACACACAAATGCACAAAGCATGGGAGACAAACAGGAGTTGGAAGCTACCGTGCTGCTAGAAAGCTATAACCTGATTGCCATAACAAACTTGGTGGGACGAATCCCATGACTGGAATGTGGCTCATTGTGAGCTCATTGGTGATGTCAAGACTGGAGGCAGCCTGGGCTGCAGTGATCACGCATTGGTGGAGTTCACACTCCTGAGGGATATGGGAAAAGCAAGGAGTACAGTCAGGACCCAAAATTTTAGGAGAGCAAAACTTCCAGCTCTTCAAGGAGTTAGGCAGAAGGACCCCCTGGAAAACAGTCCTCAGGGAGAGGGGAATGGAACAGAGCTGGCAGAGCTTTAAGGACACCTTCCATAGAGCACAAGAGCTCTCAGTCCCCAGGTGTAAGAACTCAGGCAAGGAAGGGAAGAGACCAGCATGGCTGAGTCAAGACATGCTGGCCAAACTAAAGAGTAAGAAGGAACTGCACAGGCAGTGGAAGCAGGGACAGGTGTCCTGGGAAGAGTACAGGGAAGCT